ATGGCATAATTGACGGTAGAGTCGGCGGCAACACAAAGGGAAAGCCACCCAAACGGGCGAATTTCAGGGCCAAGGTAGCCCTTTTCACCTTCTTTGGCTCGAGCTTTCTTCTGGTCGTTTGGCTTCTTTGCTCTCGATGCACCCCCAACGGCATCAGCACGACCCTTCCATTGCCAATCCTTAGAAGGCTCTCGTGTCGGGATGCGCAATGTCAACTCCTCGTTGATTTCCACGCACAATTTAAATGATGTGCTTTGTCGCAGGACACCAGGGGCTAGTTGCTCTGTCGGCTCAGCGTTGCGATAGAAGTTTGGAAAAAAGATATTCTGAAGGCCAACCCGCTCCCTATCAGCCCATGGTCCGTAATTTATCGTACCTCCATCAATCTTGATGTCAATCCCCCATTCCGGAGGGGGAGCATAATTGATGTTGTTATCCATTGGTCGAGATCGAACAGTTGACGTTGGTTGAATAAGGACTCGTCCAGGGATATCCCAGAAGTAGGTTATATTCAAGCTAGGGCTATCCACGATGGTAGAAAACCTGCCATATTCAACTGAGTTCCATTTCTCATGGGCATCCTCGCTCCCTTCCTCCAGATATCGGGAGAGACCGGTCCAGCGGACCTCAGGAAAATCTGCCTGGCTCCTCGGCAGACTATTGGTGTGTCTGCCATCGTTATGGAACGATTCGACGGACGTCTGAAAATATGGGACCAAGTCTCGAATGCTGTGCCATACTCTCCGCCTCTGAAATTGATAATTGAACATATTTTGCGGTTTTTTCTTCGATTTGGGCTCTTTCTCTTGCACGGCGCCTAGGTCTTTGGCGGTCGCCGACTGATTCTGCTTGAAATCCGGGTTTGGCCGCATTTGAATCACTGGATTACTGAGTTGAAATGAAAATATTTGACGATACAAATCAAGAGGACCCGAATTGGAAGCATCGATGGTGCCCGTCCCAGTGTCGAATGTCGCTGTCAACACAGATCGAGTATGCTCGTTTCCCATGACAATGGCTCCTTTTTGGCAATCTAGCTTCACAGGCAGGAGTTGTAACATATTGGACACAGGGTCCGATAGTTCTGATTCACTAATCGTAGTCCTCTGTGACGCAGCCCCGCTCCTCTCGCTCCTGCTGCGCTCTGACATGGGTTTCACGGTTGGCCGATGGCCAGACGTGCCTTCAAGACCAAAGGTGTTGCTTGCGTTGCCATTTTCTGCCGTCGCACGAGACCCTGGGGGGTTTGAATTGTCGTCGTCTAAATCAACATTTTTGGGAGAGTATCCAAAGCCAGCAAGGATGCTGTCATAGGCGGGAGTTCGGTTGTAGATGAACCACTCAAGGCCATATGTGTTGATAGTAATCCGGCACGGCAATTGAGTTGTATTTCCCATGCCACCTTGCTCCCCCAGATTGTCGTCTGTTCCATCGCGCGGGGACCGCACATGTCCTTTCTTTGAGGTATGATGAGCAAGATCTGCCTTGCGTCGAATTCCTGTCAAGTCATTTCGCTCGACTGCACGCGTCCAATAGCGCCATGTTATGAATCCTCCATGAATAAAGATCGTCTCGTTCACGCCATGGTATCGAATGCCCTTGAAGAAGATTCTCCCTCCAAGTAGGGAGATTTGCAGTGCGTTGATATCAACATATGCGCGGTAGTAATGCCAGGTGTAGGCTCGGATCGCGTAAGAGATGAGGTTCGCGAAGAGCCGATTGAAGTAGAGCAAAAAGAACAAAGCGCTGTGCCTGTGATCAGCGTAATTCAGCCACGTTGAACAGCGCAAACTTACAGAATGCAGGAGACAATCAGTTCTAAGAGAAAGAACCTAAATTGATCAGTATAATAGCCATAGCCCGAGTAGCGATTCCATACCAATTGAAGCTTGGATCTGGCGTCAGGAAAGCCGAGGTCAAGCTTGTACTAGCCATCTCTCTCCGACAGCTAACATGGACAGCGCCAGCGCGATAGAACGCGAATGACGAGCCAAAATTGATCTCTCAATCATCGACACCAAAGTGGCTGGGTCAAATATCCTGGAAGTCGCAAAGTGAGGACGTTAGGAAGTCCGAGAGCGGTGTCACGAGAAGATCGTCATCGGACAACACGCCCTCCTCATTCCGAACCAACATTTGCTCAGCTTGATTCTCCCCCCCATTTCGGTCTTGACCAACATGTTTTGCCCCTCTATCGACTCCGCGGAATGAGCTGGATTATCTCCGCAGGCAAAAAGCGGTCCCTAAACCGTACTTGTCCCTAAATTTCAGCAATCATGACGAACGCAGGTGGTGGAGGAACAGGCTCCAGCCTGGCACGCGCAATTATCATTGTCACAGGTGTCTCGGCTTTGGTCTCCTCGCTCTTGTCCTTTGTGTGAGTCTAATATATCCTCTTTATCCTAAATTATAGGCGCGATCGTTGTAGACTCCCAAGCTAACATGTTGTCTCCAACCGCAGGTCCATATGGTTTCAAACGTACGAGCTTATACCGTCCCAGTTCTCAAAATATAGCTCACCATATATATAGAAAAAACTACCGAAAACCCTTGCTTCAACGCTACGTGGTGCGCATATTGTTGATGTGAGTATTGGCTCCAGTATCATCTCAGGGGCGGGGACAAAGAGCAGTGCTGATTGAGCTTAGGGTCCCGATTTACGCAGTATCGTCATGGACGAGCATCGTGTCGCTAACGGCAGCTCAATTTCTGGATCCTGTTCGTGACATCTACGAGGTATGTGGAGCCTTGGCCGACTGTGGAATAAGCCCGTATTAACGGATGGCATTGGCAGGCATTCACCATCTATACCTTCTTCCAGCTCCTTATCAACTTCCTCGGCGGCGAGCGGGCCGTGATTATCATGGCTCACGGGCGCCCTCCTATATCCCATGCCTGGCCTCTCAATCACTTCCTCCCAAAGATTGACGTCTCCGATCCCCACACATTCCTCGCTGTCAAACGTGGTATCCTGCAGTATGCTTGGTTGAAGCCCATTCTGGCTCTCGCCTCCATCATAATGAAGGCAACCGACACATACCAAGAGGGCTATATTGGGCTGAGCTCTGGATACCTCTGGACAGGGATCATATATAATGTCAGCGTCACGATCAGTCTCTACTCCCTTGCCATGTTCTGGGTGTGTCTACATGATGATCTCACGCCATTTCGCCCAATTCCCAAATTCCTCTGCATCAAACTCATTATTTTTGCCTCATATTGGCAAGGCTTCTTCTTGTCGATCCTACAGTGGTTGGGAGCGCTTGGCAATGTTGCTGGATACACCCCCGACAACCTCGCGGCGGCCATTCAGGACAGTCTTATTTGTTTTGAGATGCCATTCTTCGCTATGGCTCACTGGTATGCATTCTCATGGCACGACTATGCGGACCCGACCATCTCAGCTGCACGCATGCCCGTAAAATACGCGCTGCGTGACGCGTTTGGCGTGCGGGATTTGGTTGAAGACACTAAACTCACTATACGTGGTAAGAATTACGGATATCGGCTCTTTGACTCCGGTGATAATATCATCCCGCATGAGGAGTCGGAGTCGCGAGTCAAGCGAGTAATGGATGGCATGAGGTATGAGCGCGGAGGTAAGGCAAAATATTGGATCCCCAGACCGGGCGAAGCCAACAGCCGCACGCCTCTACTGGGCGGCGAACCTAGTGAGCGCAGCCCCAGAAGTAAACGGCCCAGTCAAACCTCGAGAGAGAGATTCCGATCTTATAGTGAAATCGATGAAACCACAATGGACGACGAGGATGAGCGACTATTCGTCAATGCTCGCGCACTGGAATTTGGAGATTGGAATGTAAGTCGATGCTAGTGCAAGGTGTTCGTCATGATTGCGATGCTAACCGTGCATAGTACCCGGTGATTACCGCCAACGAGGTGTCAAGGGACCAACGGCTGCCATCCTCGCGAAGAAATCAAGATTCAAACCGAGGAGCAGATGTCAAAAAGGCCCGTAGGCACAGGAAAAGTCGCGCGTCAGATGGTGAGAACAGGCAAAGTCCCAAGCCGAACTCCAACAAACCTAGCCCGAGCTCGGCGACTCCCGGTCCCTTGCAGCGAAACGTCGGGTCCACTAGTTCCAGCGGTACGCAGCGCAGCCAGCTGGTTGACCTTGTTGTGGAAAATACAGAGGCTGAGGAAGAAGATCGAGCTCAAATACGGAGAGAGTACGGTTCTGCCTGGGCAGAGCCTGAACCTCGACGATTCGCGTGAGTTCCCAAATCATTGGCTGGTAGCAGCCCTGGATCAAAGCAGAGTTATTAACCCCGGCTCCAATTTCCAGAAGACCCTCCGGAGAGCCAATCGAAGAGGAGGCTGAAGCCGATTCGACGCAGCCAGAGTCTAACGACGAAGATCGACCCAAATGGGCCTACGACGGCTTAGAGCAGGACAATGTATGGGGCAAATAGCACGTTCTGTAGCGTATTTTGCCTTGTGATGAATCCTGGACCATGATAGTCTACCTCATTTACTCATTTACTCATTCTAGGTCTGATATATTTATATATGTGTTCTGTATATATTCTTCGATAGAAACAGAAGAATGCAAAATATCACAAAACTCCAAGAAATTCTAAATAGGATACTCCTTTCAATCTCTGTAAGCGCCCAACTTTCTCATCACGAGGGAAAAGTACTTGACAGGGTATAGCTTGAAAGAATAAGCACAGATGTGACCACTCCACAGGGCGCCAACGAATAGCAATGCTTCAATCAGCTCCGTACCGGATGATCAATGCTGCTAAATGCGCTGGCGTTAGGATGTATTTCTTGACTGGGCCTAGCTCCTATTCATTAGTGCCCATAACGGTGTGTGCCCAGACGAATTGGGCAAATCGCTCATGTTTGGCCTGCCTTATAGGATGTTCCCATCCCGTCTGAGGGGCTGATTGCCTGTGCAACGGGTTTGTCCCTTTCCTTTCTCTCTTTCTATTCCCTTCAAGGTGATGGATTGATTTCTCGACGCGCTGGTCGCCATCATGTTGGCTTTGGAGAAGGCGGGGCCGTTGTTCACTGGCTGGGCACGATCATGCTTAACATGTCTACCGGGCGAGGATGGCTGTCAACCTAGACAAGCTGGGAACGGTATGTATCCGGTTACGTCAAAACTCCAGACATGATCAACTAATATACATTACAGGCGTTCAACGAGAGATGAAAATATGCCACACTCAACCACACCTTGTCCCACCCATGAAGCTGGTGGTATACGATGATATCCCTAGTCCAAGTATCCATCAACATCGGAACTCACTGTCATCATGGTTCAATGACAGTCGGAACTTGGCCTCGCGAGCCTCTCACCGGGCAAGCATGACTTTGAAACGATCTTCAACAACCCCATTGAAGATTGGCGCACCTTCAGACTTTCGCAGAGTGCAATCCTTCCACGATCACCCATCTCAGTCATTCCAAGCTCCTCCGCCCCAAACTTATCAACCATTGGACCTTCGCATTCATCGATCAGGCAATCGACTATCAGACCTACCTTCGTTCGAAGCCTTCCAGCTAAACGAAAGCACCCAGCGCAAGACGCTACCGGTGCCCCCTCGTGCCTTGACAACTTCAACCGGCGTTCGAGATCGATATTGCCAAAAGGCATTTATAGTCTCTCGCAAGCCAGTTGGGTCACAGAAACGCCGATCGCTTGGAAACCTGGAGCCTTCGTTCGTAAAAGAACCCGTTCGCACCACGAGTACTCTGGTCCCGCATTTCTCGAGAGTCACTCCCATCGAGATCCCTCTCCCAGAAGCTCCAGCATCTCCAGTCCATAGTAGGTCAAAGTCGGAAGGGAACCAGCTTACGTTGAACACCCCATGGCCGAATGACGCAAACACAAGCCAACCCTGGGAAAGAGTACCTCGAACTCCACCTACATCGAAGGGCCTGTACAGAGAATCGTTGGATACATCACCATCCAAGTACTCGGCAATGTCCAAGAACAGTCTCTCGTTAGCCAGCTCGCGCACGATGCCATCACAGATCTCATCACTACACCGTCCCTCCATTCCGCTCCCCGACAACCGAGACACAATCAATTCAGTCCGCTCCTCTATTTCTAACCGCGTAAATCAGTGGATGTTCCCTACACCCACCAAGCCCTCTATGTCTCCGAAGCAAGCATATATATCCGGCGACAACGGGTTTAATTGGGAGCGAGCCCGCACGCTGAGCGGCACCACAGTCGCATCGACTACCACGACCATCACTGGTGGTGCAAGAGTACGGAACAATAGCTCCATCTCTAGTGTCTTCTCTAGTGCCATCACTCCCCGCGCCTCATTCCAGGTCCCTTCATCTACTACAGAAAAGGACGTTGACTCTAGTGTCTACTACCCGACCATCTTCGAGGGTGAGCAGCAGCACCATAAGTTCTCTTCGTATCGCGACAATGGACATATGCGGTACCAGGAGTCCGGTATCGGGTTGGCATTTTGAGTTATCTTCTCTAAAGAGGACATTTTGGGCTATTCTAGGATTTGGATAATTAGCTGGTCTCTTTATTTCCCTCTTTCTGGTAGAAACTGGGGGATTTTTTTTTTCACTTGGTTGGATGTTTGCTGGGTGTTTGTGTTTGGACTTTTATCTTATTTTCATTGCGCGTTGGAATACCCCCATTTTGATTCCGGTCGGTTAGTCTTTGCTATTTAAGGGGATTAACCAAGGTACTACATAGCGTACCTAGGAATATCGAAGTAATAATGAATACACTCTTGATATGATTACATGGGGTCTTTAAATGTATAAGAATATTATTCTAAGAAGTATTCTGGTAGAGAGAAGAACATTTAATGCAACATAGACGCTGGGTTCAAGGTCCAGGTTGATACACATGGTATCTGGCCATGATATCCAATCCATTTGGAATATACATAAGTTGATTGTACATAAAGTCTGACGCTAACTATCTCTGTAGGGTATCTCAAAAAGGACAATGTAGCTGCCGGAAAGACAAATAGGGTACAAGTTAAAAGAAATGATGAGTGTCATGTACAACCACAAAAGATCGATATCCTGGCTTTCATAAAATGAAATCAAAACTTCAGTCCGTGGTCACTATCTCTACACCGTCCGGGGCAGGTGTACTTATGGAGCCGGTTTTGCGGTGTTTTTGCATGCCCAGAATCTGCCAGGCACGACCCATCATGCCATGACCTAAGCCCTGGGGAAATTCGACAGAAGCCTTGTGAGCGTGTCTGGAGACACGATCACGCATTGCGCGTTCCTGCTTGGCGGCAGCCAGGCGGTTCTGTTCACGTTCGTGATTGACAATTTCATCGCGCCATTCGGCCCAGTGCTCAAAGTTTTCGCGCTGCTGGAGTACCTGGTAACGGAGGCGGGTCTTGGAAGGGCGCCAGGCAGTGCGGCTTGTGTTGTCATTGTCGTCACTAGCTGGTGCAACCATCGTGGACTTGAGATCGGTGACACGGGACTCCTTGGTTAGTTTGAGGAGATGGGCCATGACGTCCCGACTTTCGAGAGCAGTACGTTGGATCTTCTCTTGTTCGAGGGTTGGTTTGGCACGCGTGAGTGGGGCATCAAGCCAGGCATGCATTTCAGTAGATCGCTGGACGGAATATGGGTCGAGGATGTTCGAACGGCGGTTTTCCTCGCGCAGGAAACGCACGGCTGCTCGGAGGCTTTCCACCTCAGCACGGAGAGACTCGTTCTCATCCATTGCAGCTAAAGAGGCCTCGCTGGCAATGACAGCGCCGTTACCCGTGGCTGTCAGACCTACTGTTCCAGACATGCGCTTCATTCGCTCAAGACGAGCCTTGAACTCGTCTCGCTCTGTTTCAGCTGTCTGAAGCTCCTTCTTTTGTTGCTCGACAATTTTCTCAAGTTCACTCCCTGCTGTCTGAATTTCCTCGATCTTGGCTTCGAGATCTTTGACCATGGCGGCCTTCTTGCTTGCCTCTCGCATCCTAGATTCAAGATGCTCAATCTTTAGGCCCTGCTCTTCGAGGGTATTGTCCTTGACTCCAAGTGCGGCTGACGCTTCGTGAATCTCATTTCTTAATTGGCGGATCTCCTCGTCTGCATCAGGGGATGTCATCTTGTTGGACTTCAATTCCACAGCACGGGCAACCCAGGGGAATGCAGCTCTCTCAAACTCTGCTGTACGAGACAGATCTGACGAGATGGAATCCAGCTCCTCAAACTGGTCGCCTATTTCCCGCAATCTGGTAAAAAGCAATGAAACAGGATCGTTACTTTCATCCGAGGCTTCGGAAGATGAAGCGAAAGACATGGCTACCTGGGACATGCAGTCCAGAATCTCCTCCGGGCTGAACGGATCCGTGCGGCCTTCATCACTCGTGAGGGCAACGAGATTTTCGCCGAGTTTCCGAGCAAGCTCCGAAAGTTGTCTGGTCTCATTTTCAATCTTCTTGAAGGGTTCGTCGGCCTCCTTTGGAAGCGCAAGTGACCTTGAACGTAAATCGTCAAGAGACCGGCTGATCTTACTCATCGCGACCTTGTATCCGCGGGCCTGGGGGGTAAAAGCATCCAATTTATCCAGAGAAAGCACGTTTTCCTCATCACCTTCTGCCGCCGCAACCATTTTGGAGCTGATAATGAGCTTAACGCGTGAGATTGCTCCGGCTGAATGCTCAATGTATGATTGAGATAAATGGGCCCGCATACACAGCTCATCGGCAAACATCTCCAAGTTGGAAGGAAGAAGGGTTTCAGCAAGGTGTGCGAGGAGAGCGATAGACCGCTGCAATTCCACTGCAAGCTTTGCAAGATTCACTTCGTCCTTCTTCATAGGCTCGATCCAGAAGTTCAACATGCGCTCAACTGGCTCCATTTCAAATAGTGCGACCTTGATGCTGCCAAATTGCTCAGGCGAGCAAGCTGTGATATAGTTCACGAACCGATCACACACATTCGAGATCCACATAAGATATTCTAAAACCACATGGGCTTGAAAAAGTTCTTCGTTGGAGACTACTGAGTGCTCAGATCCCTTTTCTTGTAGAGTGCTGCTCATGATATTGGCCTTGAATCCGACACGCTTGAATCGAAGCAAAGCCTGAATGGAATTTCTTTCGCCTTCAAAGTACTCCGGGAGATAGAGCTTGATCATTGAAAGATGCTGTGCGTTTTCCTCAGACTCCATACGGTTCAGTTCGACATCGATAGATTTGGTCAGAGCCTTCGATTGGTTGGCCTGTAATTTCATATTCAAATCCTGCATCTGGCGGTGGCGCATTGCATTTTCGGTAGTCTCTGCCTCCGAAACTTGCTTGGTTGTGCGCATATCATCCAAGTCACACTGCAGGTTCGTCACCAAATCCCTGAACCGGGTTAATGTGTATTCAAGGTCTTCGATGACTTCGTCCTGTTGTGTGATTTTTCGGCATTGGTCGTTGAATACACTCTCTCGGTACTCAAGTTCTTCTTGGAGTTGCTTCTCAGTTTCGATATGGGTGTACTCCATCTCATCACTAATCTCCTTGAGAGATTCCAAATCTTCGATGGCAGCTTTCAGCTCATTGATCTCGTCCTGGTAGCGCATGTTTTTGTCTGCTAATTCTTCAATCATTTCTTCGGCCCCTAGTGCTGTTTCCAGCTGCTGCTTGAGATCATCGACATTGGTCTCAGCGACTAAAAGTCTCTCCTTTGCAGCCTCGTAATCAGATTTGACAGCAGCGTACTCCTCGAGATCCTCCTCCAGCTCTTTGATCTGGGCCTTGAGGTCTGACTCCTGCTGCTGTGTCATATCTCTCAAACGAATGAGTGCCTCGCGGAGACGTTCATTGGTTTTCTCCATCTGAAGCCACCCATGAGTGGTTCTGTCCTCGGGAGTTGTTTCCTGGCTGTATTCTTCATTCTCCTCTCGGAGAACCTCCACCTCCAAACTCAGCTCGTCCAACCTTGATCGCAGCGCTGAACACTCGTGTTTAAATGCTTCCGCTGTCTCTTCTGCCATTTCGCGGTCAAGCGTAGCCATTTCCATGAGCGATTCATGCTCTGCCTGCATGCGTTCCACGCTGTCAGAACGTGTTTCAAGTTCTTTCAGTTTTTTGCGCAGCTCTGTGACTTCCATTTGCTGCGGTTGATACTTGGCTTGCAGTTTTTGGATGATCGTTTCAAATTTATCACGCTCAGCTTGGAGTTGCTCGAGGGTCTTCAACTTCTCCTTGTCGTCGGCTCGCTTCTTTTCCATGACTCTGAGCTTGGCATTGAGTTCTTCAAGCTCGCGATTGACTGCAGCACTCTGCCCTTGGCGTTGAGATGCAGAGGGCGCAGCACCAGGACGCGAGGCTGCTGGGCGTGTAGCCGTCATCGACTGTCGAGAGGTCTTCGGCGCAGTGGCTCCGTCTTGCGCACCCCCCTTCGGTGTCAGGCGACTCAGTATCGGTTGGATCCACGGATCGCCCGCTCATGCCCGTGTCTCCTCCATCGGATGATTTTGTGTTACCAACCTGTCGTAGTGAGGGGCGCTTTGTCAACCCTGCTGTTGATGAAGCAACGGTGCTTTGGGAGCCTGGCCTTGAGGTTCGGGCTGCTGGCCCAGACACCGAGGGTCTCGAGCCTCTAGATGCCATAGGTTGTGTTGGAGAAGGACCCAGGGAGCTTCTGGCGCTGGGAGCTAGTCGGGGTCGATTAGACGCCACTGTAGAGGTGCGGGAATTACTCCCGGTGGATGGGCGGGTAGCTTGACCCGCAGTCGTTGCGAGCTGTTTCGTTGGGGACTTTGTCGGTGACTAAAGAAGGTGAAGTCCGGGTTAGCTTCATATGAGAAAATGACATTGTAGGACATTACATACTCGGAGAGACGATCGAGCGGCCACACTCTTCGGCGCCGGAGTAGGAGTTGAAGCTGTATTGGTACTCTGTCGCCTCGCTGTTGTAGGATATAGACCGGTTTGCTTCCGCATACCAGCGGAGATTCCGGGTTTAGGTTGCGCTTTGCTACCTGCAGCGCTAGTAGCCGGTTTGGTGGTTTGTTTACTCTCCGGCTCAGGCTGGACAATCTTACCAACCACGGTTGGGCGGACAAACATGCCGTACCCTGGATTGCAATCAAAATACCGTTCTCCTTGAACTGCGCCATCGTTTTTGCCAGTGGCCTCATCTAGCTCGAGGCCTATCCACTGTCCGTCCGCAAAGTGGGTGGTGCCAATGAAGCGCACTGTTGCTTGCCGTCCATCGGGCAATTCAATGACCGTGCCTACGGCTAAGGCTTGGTCAGACATGTTGAATAGATTCAAGAGCTACAATGAGCTCTTGAGCGATAACCGAGAAGTTCTGGTTGTTGAGAGAACGGAAACACGGCAACTCCTGAGTCCAGCGGAGCGCGTCAAGTGATTATTCGCTGCCTGAGGCAGAAACGTCTAATTTACGATGTAGATCATTGCACGCATTGATGGAGGTACGGCTAATGATTTCATTGTTGTATCATTAGAGCATGCTTGACCCTGATTTCATTTCATATAATCCAAAGTCTTCTGTGTTTGGCTATATAAATAGGGCCGTAATCATAAACGTTCATAGTCGTAAACCAAAAGTCTAGGGGGAATAAACAAAGAGTATCATGGCCATGTCCTTATCTAAGCACCATCACTTTCACGTTGCTGTTTGAAGACGTGGGGAAAAAGCACTTGGAGCTCTTCGAGGCTAGAGATTGTGTATTTCGAAGCCGGCTTGCGTGGCATAGGGATACCCGGCTCAACAAGGTGAACGGTAGTCCATCCCCGAGCATACGCATGTACACAATTCAAGTGGGAATCATCTGGTTCAACACTATTAGAATCAAAGAGTCCAAAATGGTCATACTCGCACAGTGGAGAATGACATACCAACAAAATAACACTGATCCGTGCTGGGGGCACCGGCTTCCTTCTCCGCTTTGGCGTACATATCCTGACTAGGTTTGCAGACCAGGGGCAAACTTCCATAGTCACAATATGTGACACCTTCGAACAGATCCTCGATACCAAGCAACCTCACCACACGATTGGCATGGTTAATATAGGCGTTGGTGAGCAGCCATGGTTTCACCTTTGCTGTGTCCAGGTTCTCCAACAGCTTGCGCAGCTTAGGATCAGGCTTAAGGATATTGTCAAGAGGCAGAGCATCATCAACCTCGCGGTTGAATGCAAGCGGGTCGATCTTGTGGTGGCGGGTAAGGCCTTCAATGGCTAGTCCATACTCCTTGTAGTACTTCTGGTGCAGCATATGGGCATCTTCCGAGTTAAGGGCGAGATGTTTGACAAAAAATTTATCTAGCGGCAAAAGTGTATTGTGTTAGTTGTATGTTCCAGCATATTGCGTCGGCTTCACTTACTGATCAATGCCTGCATCTCATCGTGGATGTTGCAAGCTGCACGGAGGCCCCCTGTCAGTAGTAGGTCATAAAGAGCGGAAATCAAGAGCACCGACATTTAGAATAGAGCTGTAGGAGTACATAGTAATCAGTAACCAGGATACCAACTTTAGGCTCTCTCGACTTACACAGTTGTCAATATCAAAGAAAAAAATTGGCCGTGAGTCACTGACTCCGTTAGTGCCGTTGGTTGCCATCGATCTTGAATTATGGAATCGCAGGGGTAGATAAACAGGTGAAAGTCTAGACAAGGTTGCAACAGGTCTAATAAGCCGACAGGAGGACAACGCAAATGATCGATGCATAGATCACAAGAAAGGATACAGTAAGCTCAGCTTCCTCTTCTCTCTCCCCTTCACTTTCCCGATGTCCAAACACCCGTGCCTTACCTAATCAGATCTAGCGCCCGCGGGCCCTTGGCAAACGGCCAGCATGGTGGACTTTTTAAACCACCTAATTTGCTCTATCATCCAACTCTCAGAGTCTTTCTCAATCGTAGATTGGACTGAGTGGATATACAACGTGTGTTTTACACGTTAGCAAACATATCTGCTTCCAGTCTCTCTCATCTTGTTCTAGCTTCACCGATCCCTTTCCCTAGCTTTCCCTAGGACCATGGCCGCAACTCATGGGCCAGCAACTCACCTTCCAGCAGGTCCCATGGCTATTTCAGCCCCTACACCGGATGATGAGGTACGGGAGTACGAAAAAATCTTAGCCATCAATGACCAAGTCTTCTCGGGCACTCATCCCCGGCTCAATGTTCCCCAGCACCTGGTGCGCAAGTCGGGGAAAAATGTCCAAAATGTCCCTCTTCGAACTCATTTACTTAAAAATCCTCCCCCAAAAGCTGTATCGGCGAATGTGCCTGTGGCTGGAGCCACAAAACAGCCTTACAATAGCTCCCAGAGTGCCTCGGCCAGAAACGCCTTGCCCACAGCACCACAACCCGCCCGTGTGGCTTCAAAACCTACATCCGAGATCGATCCTATCTTCTTGACCAAGTCCGATGACCTAATCAGGGCGGAACTACAGTTACAAAGGCAGAGGTTGGAAAGGGCACTGCGTGATCAAGTGGAGCTGAAGAAACAAGAGATCAAACAGAGACCTGCGGTTCAAGACACGAAGCCTGACTTTGATGTCTCTGAGGTTTTCAAACAAGCTCTTGAGGTGGTGAAACCAGTCTCGCTGAGCGATGTGTCTGAGGCGAGTGGTCCTGGTGGTGCAGCCAGTGACTCCTTCGACGACAATTCATTTTACTCCAGTAGAGCTCCTGACTCGCCTCCCCAGACTGGCGGACAACCAAAGTCATCCCCCGTGGCTATAATTGCACCCACAGGGCCTGTCACGCATGTTCCAGTAACCCATTACGCAGATGAGTTGCAGCGACTTGAAGCTCTCAACCGTCCTGGATCTGATCAGGAAATGCCAGATGCTTACCTTGTTGCTGACCAGCGTCACTCCCATTCTCAGAAGCAGGGCCGCTACCACAAAGCTGAGGCTCCCGTCAGCCGCTTCCGCGATTCGCATCAATTCGAGACTGTGGACGAACCCGAATATTCTCCACCTGCTCCAGCAGCGCCGCCACCGGATCATCCTGAACACCCGCGTGAGGTAGAAAGTGGTGCTGGAAGAAAATCTCGGCCAGATGCTAGATACACCGACCGAACCCGCGATATTCGCAAGCCCCCTCTCCTACAAGCGTGAAGGTAGTTCAAAATCATATCACATCACCGGCAGCTCCCCGGCCATCTCGAGTGTCGCCCCTGGCCACTGCCAAGGTTCCTTCCGTCCAGCAAATCCGGGATGAAAGATCTGAACATGTTTCTGATCAGGTGTACTTGGAACCTGATTCTACTCGTGGCAGCCCCAATTCACCAGACTTTCAAGTGATGTCCCGGAAACGGAGGAGGCTGCGTGAAGGTGATGAAGGGCCCCGTCCAATCTCACGCAGGACACAAAATGCAGAACCTGCCGAGGCATTCATCAAAGAGGAGCCTGTTTCGCCGCCACCATTCGCTGATGATCATACTGTTGTTCGTGGCCGAAACCCCGCAGCGCGCCCCATCTACATTGATATCGCGTCCCCTCAATACACTCCATTATACGAAAGTCGCGGACCACCAGTGCGAGAGCCAGCTTACGAGATTGACCCGTACCACGGGTCCCAACCGGATGCCGGTCCCCAGCGCACAATATCTCGTCTGAGCATCAGGCGGCCAATTCGGGACGAAGTCGATCTTCGACGAGTGGCCAGTTCACAGTATGCTCGGCAATCAGACTATGCTCGTGAGTACATTGAGGCCCAGTCACGCCCAGTTCGAGCGGCATCATACGTTGTGGAACGCCCGGTCCACGAGCGGCCAAGGTACTACGAAGAAGCCCCTCCTTACGCACAGCATCGTTACATTGCCGCGGATGACATGCCGCCCCCAACATATCGGGAGACCTATTACGAAGAGGCACCGCCGGCTCGGATGATGGCACCCCCTCAACGCCGGATTGTGGTCGATGAGCATGGCACTCAGTACTACGAGTTGCTGCAGGCACCAAGACTGCAGCCGATGGCTCCTCCGCCCCCGCCCCCTCCCCGGCCAGTCTCCCAGATGCCAAAGGATGTTTACGATGAAAGGGTGCATCATCATGCGGGCAGTGTTCGTGCACCTTCAGTTGTGCAAGACCCTTACGGTGAACGACACTATGTGCAGGAAATGCCCCCGCCTCAGCCAGTTTACAGACGAGTGACGTCAGAATATGCTCGTCCCGTAGTAGCCCATGAGAGACATGGCTACGCTGCTCCTTTGGAAGGCCATGAACCTTACTCACGCAGTAGCAGTGTACAAGTAGCGGAGTACCTTCCTCGCCATGCAGTCTATGTCGATGAGCGTGGATTGCCCCAGGAGAGAATAATTCGGACAGCCAGTGTTCGTCCTCCACAGCCTCGCTATGAAGACTCGCATGAGGTTGTTCAGCGAGTTGGGAGCGTGAGACCAGCTGGCCCGGGCCGCGAGCCCAGTATTTTCATGGAGGACAGACAAGTCGGGGAATACGTTGAGAGACCGTACTACATTCGGGATCGACGGTACTATGAAGGCGAAGGTGAAGAGGGAGATCGCATTGCGCTGGATGGTGCAAATGATACCATTCAGCGGGGTCCACAGCGTTACTAGTAGCGCGTCGCGCTTTGGGGGAATTGGGGTTGTTGTTTATCTACTCCGCATTTCATGACTGTATCTAAGTGTACTTTTCCAGCAAGTCATACATACCTTAGGCAATACAAACTTGCAAGGTTCTAAAAATATTGTATTATTACTACATACATATGTACCAAGTCGCCTTTTATCGATAGATTCGTATAAAACATGATCTTCGATCAGAGATATTGAGCCCAATGAAATTCGCTTGACAATCACTGTTGGACATCAGATTGCCAATGTTTTCGACATGTGGGATTCCAACTTTCTTGATTCATCACTTGGATGACTTGAATATCCTGCAGAGATCAGACTCCTACAGAGGACCAATGTCCGGGAGATCCTAGGAGCCACACAGACTGGTGGGACAGAATTCTGTCAGATCTTTGGTGGTTCCAGAAGGGGATTTCTGACGCTAACAGGAAAGTTCGGAGAAGTTCTACAGCGTGAAAGCGTCATCCGTGGATGGCATCAAGGTCTCAGAATCAGTCCGTTTGATTCCAGGGCAGGTCGGCACCGAGACACCTTCCATCATCGGTCGGACAAGTTCTATCGGAAACTACATTCTAGGAGTCATAGACCTCTCGAAGAACATGAGATTCTAATGATATTCTCCTAGCTTTGGATGTTCCTAGCAACTGAGAAAAGCGAAACTGTCCTCACTTCCCACCGCCCTTTCCAGCAAGAAAGACTTAGCCGTTTTATCCGGAAAAGAATGAATACCAGTCACAGACCTGACGCATCCCATTTGGCTTGTGCGAAGCTCCCCTTACCGCACACCGTGCTACAACCAATCTGTCCCTTCCTCCCACGCTATCCACGTCATACTTAGATCGCCATAACATCGCCACAGCCTGGTCACTCGCTTCGTGATCCCAAATATACTCACTTCGGCACTGCGGGCGTTACCTTCGTCTCTTCTACCACTCTCCAGTTTTATGTTTGGGCATTGAGGGCCACAGTATATAGCGGGACTCCCGCAAGGACTTTTTCATACGGGGCCCATGCGGAGATGATTGGACACCTAGGAGGGCTCACCACTCCAGGTAGAGCTTCTCCTTCGATCAAGGAGAGGTCATGTCGGTACCCAACCGGAAACGGGAATATAGGGCTCGGATTGTCGAAGCAGCGGGTAATCGTCCCGACTATGATAATGGTGAGCGTGGTTCATAAGCAGATTGTATGGTTCTCGAATGAGAAATACCTTTATGTTAGTCTTTAAGAGCAAAATTTCCTTGCCCATCGGATTATTGGACGAGCTCTGCTCTGGTACAATGTACGCGCGAGAATCCCGGTCTAAGTGAGCAGTTCGGAATCGACAGAGTGCGTTCTTCACCCGACTAATCCAATCTGCAACACGCATAAGAACCTCCGACAACACGGAATTACGCACATAAGCGTGGGTCACTGTCGTTAAAACCGTGTTTTCTGGCAATTTCAACTTCAAACCCAGATACCCGACCGACCTTGCCTATGTATCCCGGGATAGGGAGATGGTTAGTTGACAAGAGAAGACGCAGAGTGGTCCAGGGAAGGTAACTTGTAAGACAAGATGGGTTACAGGTAAACAGAGAAAGCAAACAGTCGGTAGGCCTTGGAAAGCTCTCGCTTTGTTTGCCCATCACGAACGGGTTATACACAACACACAGCACCATCGCGGCTATTTTCTATCACGCCAACTACAAGAATTTATTTTGACACAAAATACTGAAAAGTCATACTTATATCAGAGAGTTCATATAGTTCTCGCATAATAGCAAGTGGCAGGATGGACCCATGCTAATGATCAAATATTATTAGTGATTGTTGCGATGCAGTTTAAGCATTACTGCGTCACAAAACAATAGTGGTGGCCATACACAATTTTGCAGCTAGAAATTCCATCCTACAGTGTTATTATTCCAATAAGATTCTCCGTGATTGCCTGATCTAGGTGCCTTGACAGGCTCGAGCATGGCCTGCTATCTTGGGTTCAATATGGTGATGCAGATAGTATCAATATTATATCTATTGAACACTTAACAAAAGTAGACGGCCGCGTATACTGCCTTCTGATGTCTTTTTTTAGTAGTCTTTTTGGGGTTTTCTTAGTAGACTTAGATTCTGTTTATAACATAGATGTCTTTTAGATATTTAGATATTTTCTTCCCCTTCTCAGTTGTATAGGTAGAAGGTAGAAAAAGACGCAAACAAAAGCATACTTTGTGCAAAAGCCTTTTCCATGTAAAACTTGGGATTTCGAAAATGCATTGACTTACGACCTCAAAGACCAGAGCTTAGTAACACTCTTAGTACCTTTAGATATGCTGTAGACTTAGGCACGATTAGCCATGATTCGGAGAACCCGCTGTTCCACTGGCGCTGACGCTGAGTGAACGCCTCGAGGATCAAATAATCAAATTCATGAATCCATGAGCGGCTGGTGTTTCGTTCATCAATAGTACACAGTATACAAAATACCCTAGAACTAAGATTTGCCATTAGTACAATCTAGGTGTTCCCGAGGCAACTGATATAGTTCCCTTTACCCACAGGTTGAGCGATTATAAAAAGCGGCTTGACTTCGTACATTTTACGCTATAGCAGGTTGGAAGATTTGTGGGGCAATTGGCAGCGCTTTCCTCTTATGCAGTTACCCTTATTAGGAGGTTTCGTGGATTTCAGGTTGGAATTGACGGAAGTTGTCGCTATTAATAGCCGGTGTTAGATCAGCGTATTTTAGTGAGCGGTATGCAACGTAGGCTAGTGCTTCATACCACATTAGCAAGATCCGTCTAGACACTATGACGCTTGATACGCGGTTGTTTTATAAACTAACCGCTATTAGCGATAGTTGTCAACCGTTTACCGAAGTGATTATGGAGTGCATGGTTCTGCGGGAGAATAGTAATGATCGACGACCTGTAGCGGTCGATCCGCCTAAGTGGCCCATGGAGTTACTCCGTGGAGTTGAAAAGGCTTGTACTGATCATAATTCTTCCCATATTATACCCTCTATCACATTTCGCCGTTGTCGTTATATATCCTACATGGGGTCAAGTGGATGACCCATTCTGCCGTCCTAAGTTTTGGATTTCCAGCTTTCTTTGGCCGAGAAGAGTCCGAGAAAAAAAAACAATTCAAACTTTATATATTTTACACAGCAATTGATGGTTTCACTCAGATTCCATTGCATGAAACCTTGAAGCTCTACAAGCTATAACAGGATGTGATGAGTCCCCTTTCACTTTGAAACTGGGAGCCCCTGCAGTCTGATTTTCAAAACCAACGGTCCAGTCGGAACTGTCGAGTCCTTGAGCTGAAGAAGTGACCCACTACCGCCTATACGAGAAGATGACGTCGACTATTTGAGGGGAAGTTATCCCACCTGGACAGGGCAATTTCCCAGTTCCCCAGTCTATTGCATATGAATATCGTCTGTGCATATATACAATCACAGGGTACTGCATCACAGGACACTGCTGTGTATCGGAAGCACGACAGGTTGTCCCCCGGTGGAGTCTAGACATGTCAGCGATCAGAAATCAGAATCCAGCTTAACCGCATTATGATTCAACTTTGGCCTCCACAGGCTTGACCCCTCAGTTTTCCAAACGCCCGGCCCAGCCGGTCGCAGTGATGGGCGTCCTATCACCGCTTCTAGGCCAATGGGCTGAGATACGGCGGCATACAGGGTTCTCTATCCCGGAGCCTATGAAATGATCGACCCGTGTATGCTAGGTACGGTACGGAATGAATCGGATCCCGAAGTGCCTGGAGCGGCACTAAAGCCAAGTGAATCCACACAGCCTTGGAGAGAGGCGCAGAATGGTCACTCCACTGCATTTCATCACTTTCACATATACACGTGATGAGGTAGGGTATGAGACAAGGGTTTCCAACTCAACAAATTCGGGGATACGTAGTTTACTAGGATATTTCCAAGGTTGCTAGGTAGCTTATATGGGCTGGGATATCTGTATTGGGTACTCACAATCCAATATTAGACAGATTCTATTTGCCAAGAAGACCCTTGCGAATGGACATTCAAGATCCTGCATTCTTGAAGGGCAATGTGGATTCGAGAAAAAGATATTAAGGGACCTTGGACCTTACGACCTTTGAAATCCCTTTTAATAGCCAGATCTCTGCTTCATACAATATAAGGTGTCAACTAAAAAGGAATATAAATCAAAACTGCAAAATCAAGTAGAAGACCTAGAAGACCCGCAAAGGACTGACTTATTTTCTTATTTTTTCCCCTTGGTTTGTTTTCCTTTCTTTTTCAATTTTTATTTATCTTTCTATTGAGATATACATCTTTGATATTTACTTGGAACTTATTTCGCTTTTCTTCTATTGAAGATTTGCGTTGGTTGGCCCCATCGATCTTCGTTTCCACCATTCCCGGGTCGAAACGCCCACACTGGTCATTCCCATCCCTGTCGAGAACGGCCTGATTCCTTCCCACCCCCCAACCCAATTTCACTCTTTCTCTATCCCCTCGACTCGCTCAAGGGGTTAGAGATTTCTCTACCTAGTCATGCACAAGATATCCAACTTCACGGGCCAAGCCCGTCATGGTTGGGAACGAATGACGCCGACTTTCGGGATGTCCAGACCTCACACCGACATGGCTTTTCGCCGACCACACGGTGCGCCGCCCATGACACCGCCGACTAGTATCGATCCTACAGTTAATCTGTCCTTCAACGTCCCGTTCTCATCCACCCTAGCCGGCCCAGATGTCGAGGATGTGCTCCACGCCAGTCCTGGCGCTCTCCAGCGCTGGACTTTTCCGGAAGGCACACTAGAGGGCACATCGGTGCATCAACTTCCCGTCCACACAAACAATGTCGAGGGCTTGCAGAGATTATGTCGGAAGATCACGGAGGAGAAAGGAGGACGGGTGGAAGCTACGCTCACGACCTCCGAGGCTAAGGCTGTGCCAGCGCTACAACGCCGGCCGAACGGCTTGGTGACGAACGTCTGTGTCA